TATATATGTATAGCTATGTGATTATTATTTACCTACATACAATCATAATTTCTATCTTTTAACAGTTGAAGAGCAATGTTCTTAACCTTGACAATCATATAACTCGGTATGTAAAGATCTGTAATGAGCAGAAGGAAGAGGTATGTCTTCTCTTTATGTTACTCTCCTTTAGTTCTTCATTTATGGGATTCTGCAAACTTAATTGCTTAAAAATTTGACATTTTTTTCTATTATAGTTGAAAATCTAGCATGTTCAGTTATTTTTCACAGCTAACATTTTTCTGTAGCCATGTATTATGGAGACAAATAATTTGTATTTTAACTAGTGTTTCTCTCTACTAGATTTTAATGTTAAAAGAAAAACTAAAAGCCTATGAAGAACAGAAAGCCTTTACTGATGAAAATAACAAAGCAAAGTTAATGATTTCAAACCCTCAGGAAAAAGAAATTGAAAGGTAAAAATGACATTAAGATCTCATTTTGAGGATTTTATGGTTTTGAAAGTTAGATATTTTATGTTATCATCATTTTTTGTGTAAGTATGTCTTTATATATATTCTCAACTGAATTCAGGAAGTCACTGATTGCTCTTTATTTGCACACTTCGGAGATCAGATCATTTTAGTTATGATTATACACAGTTGTGATTATACCAGGACTTGGGTATAAGATGGAGAAAGTAAAGCCAATTACGTCACTTATGAAATTAGTTTTTAGCTGTTTTCGTATTTTTCTTCTCAGGTGTCTTATTCCACTCAGGCTGCTGTAACAAAATACCACAGAGTGGCATCTTATAAACAAAATAAATAAACAAAAATTCTTTCTCACAGTTCTGGAGACTGGAAGTCCCAAGATTAGGGGGCTAGTATAGTTGGGTGAGGGCATTCTTTCCAGCTGAAGATTTCAATTCTTGAATCCTCACATGAACTCTGAAGGGAGACCTCTCTCTCCACAGCCTATCTTATAAGGGCACTAGTCCCACACATGAGGGTCTCTGCCCTCATCTGATTACCTCCCAACAGCCCCACTTCCTAATACATCACCTTAGGTGTTAGGTTTCAACATAGGAATTTTGGGTAACAAACATTCAGGCAATCTCATCTGGCATGATATCATTATTTGTATAGTTCACATGAATCTTATCTACTCTTTCTTGACTACGTATAACTCTAATAATTCACTTAGTTTGGTTAATTATTTGAAGGGACATCTCTCAGTGATATAAATTAATACGGAATTTTGATAGGTTCCCACTAAGCTTCCTAGCAGGTAATTGGAAAAAAAAAAAAAAAGGTGTTGATAATACAATATTCACGAATACTTCTCCCCTAAGCAGTTAAGATAATTTTCCAAATTGTCCCAGAGGGGATGCTAGTTCAAAAGCTGTGAATCTTGAGTAGCTCTAAGAAGGCAGTAAGAAATTCTTGGATCAAACAAATTTGGAAATTACACCTTACTTGAGGATTCTAGGTGATTTCCAAAGTATATCAGTTTATTAAAGGCTCTGAGAGGTCTTATAATAAAGGAATCTGTTCAATCTTGATTGAAGTTGACTGAAGTTAAAGTTACTTGACATTCTCCAGAGCCAGTGTTCTGTTATCATTAGTATGAGAAACTAACCACAATTTGGAAACCAATGATTATTCACACTGTTTTGGAACTCTAGAGGTTATAGAAGATATCTTGCTATATGTAAGGAAGACTAGTTGACAGTGACTTTCAACCTAGTTTCAGGTACGACACCGTTTTTAAAATTGGATTTGTATTTTGAAGTTTATGGAAAATATCCTTGATTTGAAAAAAATAATGTTTTCTGATTCAGTTTACCCCAGATGCTAAGATTGCTACTTCTAGTAATAGTACTTTATCTTTGTAGATGACTTTAAATAGTTTTTGATGATTTTTAGCCCCATATCAATTTAATCTGATCACTAGAACAATCCTTTGAAATTTGAAGTGGGATATTGTTTTTTCAAAGATAAGCCAAGAACTTTTAAATCTTAATCTTTTTCTTCCATACCATGCTGTTTTACAAATATCATAAGAGGTAATTAAACAACTATTTCTCTGAGTGACAATCAGTTTTTAATATAGCATAAAGTTGACCTATATATTGGACTCCTTTCTTGCATGGAATTGTTCAACACTATCTAACCAGATTTAGTTATCAGTTGAAACCTTATTAAACTTTTCTGCAATTGATGGCTTTAAGTTTTGAACCTTTCCTTCTGGTAAGATGATTCTGGAGGGAGATGGCCTGAACTATGAAATAAGCATTTCAGGGGAGTATTTTTCACATTTCAACCTGATTTAACCAAGAGTAAAAGCCTTTAGAGTTTTAATTTGTACAACATGTTAAATAATTTACTTGTATTACAAAGAAGCTTTAATAATCGGGTTATATACCCCATAGCCTTTGTCATTTTCCCTCAAAATTAGCAGTCTCCTGAAAGAAATATATGAAATAACTTTCATCATATCCATCATACTGTTACATAGAGCTTTTTTAATGCCATGAATTTGCAAAGTGTCTTTTTAAAAATAAACTTAACATTTTTATATGGTTGAATGAGATAAAAGGAAGAATGTACAGTATTTACTGCCTATCAAAGCTATTCTAGGAGAAGTCATAAAGAGAAAGTACAGTTCTTTATATACAGAATAATTATAAAACTTCACTATGAGTGTATCATGAAAATTGTGTAGAATTTAATATTCATCATGTATCACCTAAAATTATTGGCAAAGATTTTTGTTACTAGTTACTTGAATGTTTTAAATGACTAGAAAATAGTTGTGAGTCAATCCCTTTAGACCCCCACCAACTAAAATAAGTCTGAACCACAAAATTACAAAATTGACCAATATTTAACTATGTCCTTGAATAAAATGTTATTAAAAAACCAGAGAAATTATCTTTGAGTATAACCTAAAGATAACTTATCAATTCATTTACTGGCATTAGCGTGTTGTAATATAATACAATGGAATTGCAATGTCCGTACATACTTCCTATGAAATATTTATCAGTTTGACAAAACTGCAGTAAAGTCGATGTATTGTGGTTTATAGCCATTCCCAATAGAGTTTCATTAAGAACTACTGACGTAAATTGGCAATGTTTTTACCACAGGTCCTCACAAATACATTTAAAATTCTAGCTGAGGAACATTTATTTTTAAATGCATATACTTTGTTACAGTTGTATTTTAAAGGCTTCACAGTTAATTTTTCTTTGAGAGTTTTACCTGTATGTGACTATTTATACTGTTACTGTAGCTCAGACCTACCTGATCTGAGATTTTAAAACATAAATATATACTTATAAAACTAGAATATTGCTGTGACCAATGTTCTGGTGACCCTGGAGGATGCAGATTTGCAGGTTCCTTTTAGGCCTTTTATAGTAGTTTCTCAGCTTGAGGCCTTTTATGTGTTTGGAGATGCTGTGAATCAAATTCCCCAACTTTGATTCTCTAAATCTCCATTGCCTTTGGAGGAAAGACACTGGAGTGGCTTTTCTAGGTTTGCCACATTGCAAACTTGGTTGTTTTGGGTCCTGGCAGTGTCACCTGACTCTTAGCCAGGCTGTAGGGGGTACCTAACCTTATGGTGTGTTTTTGCTGTAACAAATTCTGAAACTAAAAACTGGCTATCTCACTTTCCCTAGGGGGCCATGGAGGCACCATATGATCATGCCACCCACTGCTTATTTCTTTGCAGTGAGCCAACATCAAAACAACACACAGTAATGTGTTGCTTCTGGGGCCTTGTTAATTGGGATAGTACAGGTCCAAATTATCATCCTCTTCCTACAAACAAAATATTTTATTTTTGCTAATAAGCAGCTGGATTACATAGAGTACATGACTTATATACGTATGACTTATATATAGAGGCCTTCTAATACCCATATCTTTTAATAACATGATCTTCCTTGAAAGAGGAAGAATACAGTAAAAATAATTTAATATTCTTTTCCAAACATTTTGTAATTTCATAGGAAACAGTCACTCTAACCTATTTGCTGTTTGTCGTTTAGTCTAATTCTGTGAGTGATATATCTTCTTTTGCTCATTTATTTCTTTAGGTAAACATTGTAACATCTGTCACAAAATTAGTGAGATTCTATAATGTGTTTTAATTTTTAATTTTGGTAGATTTCAAGAAATTCTGAACTGCTTGTTCCAGAATCGAGACGAAATTAGACAAGAATATCTGAAGTTGGAAATGTTACTAAAAGAAAATGAACTTAAATCATTCTATCAACAACAGTGCCATAAGCAAATTGAAATGATGTGTTCTGAAGACAAAGTAGAAAAGGTATTTATTTATAATTAAATTTTAGGCACTGTAAAGACATGGGGACTTCTAATTCTAGAAATGTGATAGGTAATGTTATTTAATCACCCATTCACTACAAATACCTGGAAATGCTGGGGGAAATGTATCAAAGATTGTTTCAAATGCACAGTTACGTATGTAAGACAGAAAATTAAATTCCTAGGTGTCAGAGAGAAAACGGAAACCAAAAGAACAAAATCTCAGTTGGAACTGTTGCTTCTGTGAGGGTTGTTGGAATGCTTAACATAAACCTACCACACTCAGGAAATGTTGGGTATCAAAGGTGAGGCAGTGGGAGCAGTATATCCCAGATGTAGGTGATAATGTACAACTTAGACCAAACTCAGATCTTTTTTTTCCAGGAAAGAATATTTTATCACTAACATTGTTAGAATTTCCATTGCGTGGTACTTGAAAAGGCAGACCATCTTTTACTTGGTTTTATTATTTTATGCAATTGTACACTGCCCTACAACCTCCATATACACAGCCCACTCCCGATACCCTAGCTTTGATGTACACTGCTATTTAGATAAGGGACCGAAGGGAGACCAGGGAGATAGAAATGGCAGACCCCACGTAAAGCTGGGAACCTCAGAAGCCTTCACCATTCATATTGGTGGTACACCTTGAAGAAACATCTTAATCAGCAAAACAACCACGCCTAGAATAAGAAAAAGTCTCATGTAAAGATTTTCATTATAAATATACTTTTCAAAGAGTTGAGGTTTGAGTTTTTACAATCCATGTGTTTTATTTAGTAAAGCCTTAAAATGAAAAAATAACATAGAAAATGGTATGAGAGCAGCAATAATCTATGGGTAACCGTGCAGAAGCATACAGAAATAGCCTATTGAAACAGACCCTCAACTCAAATTACTAATGAGAACTCACTGTCCAAATTACAAAACACATGATGAAACAATCCACCATAAACAAGTCAGCAGACTTAGCAAATAATGACAGGATTCCCAAAAATTCAGACACTAGAGCAATCTGATTTAAAAACTAAAAAAACTACTGGGGTACCTGGATGGCTCAGTCGGTTAAGGGTCTGATTTTGGCTCAGGTCATGATCTCATGGTTTGTGGGTTCAAGCCCCACTTCGGGCTCTGTGTTGACAGCTCAGAGCCTGGAGCCTGCTTCAGATTCTGTGTCTCCCTCTTTCTGTTCTTACCCCACTCGTGTTCTGTGTCGCTTCCTGGGGTAAATAAACATTGTGGGCGCCAGCAGGTAAAGCCGCTCCGACTTCAGCCAGTCACGATCTCGCTGCCCAGGAGCTCGAATTCCTATCGGGCTCTGGGCTGCTCCAGCAACCTGAGAACTTTTCCGATTGCATGTCTCCCTCTCTCTGCCTCCCCTGCTCATGCTCTGTCTCTCTCTGTCCCAAAAATAAATAAATGTTGAAAAAAAATTTAAAAAAAAAAAAATAAATAAATAAACATTAAAAAAAAGTTTTTTAATCTATAAAAATGACTGGGGCGCCTGGGTGGCTCAGTTGGTTGGAACACCGGGACTTCGCTCGGGTCATGATCTCTCATGCGAGAATCGAGCCCCGTCTGACGGCCTTCTCTGCTGACAGTTCAGAGTCTGGAGCCTGTTCACGAATTCTGTGTCCCTCTACTCTCACTGTTCATGCTTCCACCTCCCTGTCTCAAAAATAAATAAAACGTTAAAAAAAAAAAAAAAAACTATAAAAATGACTAACGTCGTCAAAGTAGGAATTAATGATAAAGGAATTAAAGGTCGAAAGAACATACATAATACAAAAAGAAAACAAATGAAATGTCCAGAAATTAAAGATTTATTCACTGAAATTTGTAAGTTCATTTTATAGGCACAATGCTTTAAATACTTTGCATGCATTAACTCAATTCTCAGAAAACCCTGTGGGACATGTTATTATCCTCATAATTAAGATGAGGAAACCAGAGGACAGAGAAGTCATTTTGGGCAAAGTCACACCTCTCATTGGTATCAGACCTATATGGTCTGAACTCAAGCAAGTTGATTCCAGAACCTGTTACCTCTGTCCTTTTCTGTGTGTTAGATACAGCTAAAGATGAATTACTGAACTGGGAGATCTGAGGAGACTATGTCAAATAGAGGATAAAAAATAGCAAATGTAAATAAAATGTTGTTGCATGAAGGACAGACTGAAAAGTCATGCATTCTTCTAATTGTTATGAAGGAGGTATATTAGTGCAAAAAGGGCAAAGGATAATATGCCATTTCAGGCTTAGAATTTTCTAGAACTAATAAGATGTCAATAAGATGTATGTTCAAGAAGAATGAGTTCTAAACAGGATAAAAAATAATGTATTCCTAGGTGTATGCCACTCCACCAAAGAGCAGAAAAATAAACATTTTGATAATTATTCCCCCCCAGTTCTGGTGTTCACTGATGATAAGCTTAATTTATTTTTATTTTATGAAATTAGTTACATAGATAATACATGAGATGATTTGCAAATTACTTATTCAAAAGCTGTCTCTTATAGGGGCTCCTGGGTGGCTGAGTTGGTTAAGAGTCCAGTTTCGGCTCAGGTCATGATCTTGCGGTTCGTGGGTTCAAGCCTACAACGGGCTCTGTGCTGACATCTCAGAGCCTGGAGCCTGCTTCAGAGTCTGTGTCACCTCTCTCTCTGCCCCTCCCCTGCTTGTGCTCTGTCTCTCTCTTTCAAAAATAAATAAACATTAAAATACTAAAAAAAAAAAAAAACTCTTATAAATAACATTTCAGTCCTCTTAGACCTCTACCCCAGATGTGTTTTTCCTGTCCCAGAAGTATCAACTCTATATAAAAATTTCACGTTTTAATGTTGAAAGCCATCAAATTTTAAACAGTGCTTTAAAACACTAGTATTTCAGTTTTTTTTCCAGCCTATGAAATTGTAAAATGTGATATGCTAAGAAACTAATCTTAAAGGATTCATTAGTATATCACTGATGCCAACTTATCAGTAGCTGTTACACTATCAACATTAGTATTTTTACTTATGAGTATGCATTTGTTGTGCCTTATCTTATCAAAAAATGTCTATTTAAAAAATCACTGTTAGATATGATTGACACCAAAAATGTGAGTACTTAGTAAGATGGAGTAGGGGAATGGGTTTGGCTAGGTTTTTTAAATTTTTTTTTCTGTTTTCATCTGTATTCTTCTGCTTAATTGCCTTTTTTTCAACCCACTTACCTTTTATGATTTCTTACTTTTGGTCATTTCAATCTACATGTTCCAGTTCTTATAGGTATTTTCATGAGACTAGGTAAACAATGGAGATAAAACCTCTTAAGTGTATCGGTTTGGGTTAAATTATTGAAAAACATAGGAAGGCATCTATAGAGATTGAGTTGTTTTTGTTTTGATTTTTACACACTAAAGTGTCAAACTATAGTTTTACTAAACTGCTTGCTAAGGCAAGAAATTTTATATCTGTGTTGGACCCTCTCCAAAAGTGGTTTATTATCAGAAGTGCTAAAAGAATCTTATAACATTGATTCAGGCAGAAATGGTTCCAGAGTATAGACTCTGAGATTAGAATTAAAGTGAAGCTCTTGGGTAATTTTATGACCATATAAAGATAATCTGCAAATTATTTTTAGCAAAATAACGAGTTTATTTACCACATTAGCAGTCCTTTTGCACAAAGCAGTAGTAACACCTAAATTTTAGAATTATATGTTTGTTCTCACTCAAAAAGTTTTGTGGTATTCTGGGGGTTTGTTAATAAAGTGTATAAAGTTCTTTTTAAACCTTAACAGGAAGCATTTACTTTAATGTCAGGGTTTAACATGCATATTTAGAATTTATTCTCAGTTATTTGCTATTTATTTCAGAACAGTAGGTCATTATGAGTACCCTGATGGAAAATGTCCCCATAGGGAACCATCATAGAGGATACATTTGATGGACATTAGAAGTAAAAACTCAAAAGCATACTTTTTGGGGTTTTGAGTTAGGAACTTTTTGGTATTAAATTATTGGCTGCCATGAGAGCCTCAGAGCATTTCCTGCCCTGGTTTCTAAGAGTTCCTACAACATTTATAAATGTTAAAGCCAAGTAAAGATAATCTGATTTAACTGCCTTCCTCCAGGCAGGTACAATACTTTTATGTTCATTTTCAGATGAGGTGATAAAGAACCACTGAGATTAACTTGCCTAAGTTTTCATACCTGCTGAATACAGCAGAAGAAAGTCAAGAAGCTACATATCCTACCTTCTGTTAAGGTAGTGGCTCTAAACTTTTCAGGTCTCAGGACCCCTTCCTATTTAAAAAAAAAAATTATTTAGGACCTAAAAGAGCTTTTGTTCATATGAACTCCATCTACCAGTATTCCTATATTAAAAATTCAAATTGAGACTTGTAAAAATCTATTTAGTATCAGTTAATTTTAAAACCATTAGCTCATTGCATGACAACATAACTAACACTTTAATGAAAACTAGTGAGTTATATTTTCTAAAACAAACCAAAAGAGATATTGAAAAGAATGGCACTGTTTCACATTTTTGCAAATTTCTTTAATGCCTGGCTTTCCCCAAAAGTTTCAATACATCTTTTATGAAAGATAGCAAGAAAGAAGAAGTTAGCTTTTAAAGAGAGCCAAAAGGCCAGATTTGTGCCTACATAAAACATCAAAACTATTCAGAATATCCATTATGAGTCCTGAACCAATCATCAGGTAAGATCAGATATTTATAAGCACTCTGATATAAGCTTTATTTTCTATTACTTGCACCAGCCTATCTAAAAGCGTTGTGGGCAAAATCAGAGCAGAGTTATTTCTTCACATCTTTCATGTTGGAGGAAAGGCAAGGTGGGACTTGTGTCTGCTTTGATTTTGAATAAAATCGTGGGAATTATCAGACCTTGTACGAACTTTTCATATGCAACACTTAATGGAATGTATTTTAGCACACACACAAAAAAAGTTATAGTCTTCAATTTGGCCAGTGAAATTCTTAAAGCCATAAACTCTCAACATGTAATTTTATAAAAATGAGTCACAACTCAATTTCCTGTTTTCCTGCAAGCAGTAGTATTGTGGAGATTTCAAAGGGGAAGTAGCTTTAAATATAAAAGTATAGTCTAAATAGATTACAATGGCAAACTTACAAGAAAATTTACTACTTTGCTAATATCACATACATCAAATATCATAAAAATTAGTCTGGCTATTAAATACATTATTTTTCAGGCCACTTGCCGACGAGATCATAGACTTGCAATGTTGAAAACTCGTCGCTGCTACCTAGAGAAGAAAAGGGAAGAGGAATTGAAGCAATTTGATGAGAATACTAATTGGCTCCATCGTGTAAAATCCGAAATGGAGCTCTTAGGTCAAAATGGCCATATTCCAAAGGTAAGATGTGTTTATGTGTTCAGATTCACTTTGTAAAAACTGAGTTCTTTAAATTTTTTTTTTTTCAACATTTATTTATTTTGGGGACAGAGAGAAACAGAGCATGAACGGGGGAGGGGCAGAGAGAGAGGGAGACACAGAATCGGAAACAGGCTCCAGGCTCTGAGCCATCAGCCCACAGCCTGACGCGGGGCTCGAACTCATGGACCATGAGATCGTGACCTGACTGAAGTCGGACGCTTAACCGACTGCGCCACCCAGGCGCCCCAAAACTGAGTTCTTTAAACCCATTGTCTTTGTCATGGAGTAAATATCTTTCATAAGACAACTATTGCTCCATCTCTCTGAGATTTGATTCTTTTTACCATTTATATTTGAATATACCATCTGCCTTGCTAATTACCCGTTAAATTTGCCTTTTCTGTACTTTGAGAAGAGTAAGGTTACTTTTAAGTGACGTTACTCTTAAGCGATCGCTTCCTTTTATGAGGTAGCTCTTAAGTTAGAATGAAGTAATCAAACTACTTGAGGATTCATCATATAGGTAATTTGTTTTAATGCTTGATGTTTTGTGGAAAAATAGTTTTAAATGTAGTCACCCTTACTTGCATTATGGCTAATGAAAGCTGATTTGAAAGCTGTATGTATGTGTACGAAAGTGAAGATATTCCACCTAGAATGGCAAAGGATTACAAAAAGTAGTGATGGGTAATGGTTAATGGCTGAATCAGATAAGAATTCTGTTCATCCGCATGGTTACAGAAATGTGACTTTACTGCCTTTACCAGTTAGGGCTGTATTTTGTTCCTTTCACAATAAGTCTTGGGAATATGCAGTTCATTCCCAATATAGCACCTCCAAAATGTCATCATTCTACTTTTCATTTCATAGTTGCCATGTCATCATTTCATCTTTAGCCTCAAGTTCGCACTTAGGCCAAGAAGAAGAAGAGAGAAAGAAACGGGGGAGAGCAGAAGCTTTTCCAGAAACTCTTAACAGACATCTTATTGGCTAGAATTGTCACATGACTGTCCCTAGATATAAGGGAATATGGAAAGGTGACTGTTCTTGCTGGACACATTATCACCCTGAACAAAATTAGAGTTTTCTTAATAAGAAAGAAGAGGGAAATGAATATATAATAAGCGACAAGTAGATGCCTACTACAAAGAAACTAATTTTGATCCAAGTACCTAATACTTTAAAAGAACAACTTCTTTACACTCTTTTTTTTTTTTTTTTTTTTTTTTTTTTAAGGAGGAGTATCTACAGCCTTTACTTTGGTGGTGCTTTTCTGAAATTCACTACTATGTATTAGCAAATTGGTATCTAGTCCTAGAACTTTGAAATTTCTAAAAAAACACTAGACTGATTATCAATACAGATAAAATAAAGCTCAGTATATTCAGTAACAAACAAATCCAAGTTGTAATGGTTAATATTCAAAGGTAATTTTAAAAGATATTACCCAGTACACCATGATTAGGGAAATGAATTCTCTGGTTGTCTAGCAATAGCTATCAGGGGCCATCCTTTTAGCATTACAGCTCAGACTGGAGAGGGAGAAGATTAGAGGGAGCAGTCAGTGATGACAGTCAAGGTAGTGAAAGAAGCAGTGAGCAACAAACAGCAGATACCCTGTTTCCTAAAAAGAAAACCAAAGACAAGTAGAGACTGAGTAATTATTTAGTGTGGAGATTTGTGGAGGGTCAGCCAACAACTTGATCTACACTTCAGTTATTCTAGAAGTCTTCAAAGTATCTTGCCGAAAGCATGCCACTGGATTAATTCAGTAGATTAGGTATTAAGTGTAATACAAAGCATAATTTAATACTATTTTATAATATAATTTAATTGATAAAGCACTTTGGAATATTCCCTACAGAGAAAGAATGTAAATACTGGGGAAAGGTTAGACTTCAGAGTTGGAGTGGTTAGTCATTCTGTTATTCAGTAGTTGTGTTGAATACCCCCTCTAACACTGTTGTATGATTTTGGGTAAGTTGTTTAATTTTGTTGTCTTAATTTCCTGTCTTCAAAATACATTTAAATGAGATGCTATATGCAGAGGCCTAGCACCACCTAACACATAGTAGATGGTTGACAAATATATAGTATTCTCAGCATCTATAACGTACATGTCAGTAGCCAAAGAAAAGTGTCAGCTGCATTACAAAATATGTTTTCTATTCTTCCTCCAGAACAGTGATTCTGACCTTTTTGGGTAATAGATGCCTTTGAGAATCTGATCAAAAAGCTATACAGATCTTCTCCCAGAGATTAGGGAGGTCACATTCATATAATTTCACTTTTTTTTTTAAGTCATTTTTCTATTTATGAGCATTAAGAGTATCTACTTTAGAAGCAAACTAAGGGACACTTTTTTTAATGCTGTATTCATATTAAGATGAGAGAATAGACATTTACATAACAAGAGGAGTAAGCAAAAAGAGACAGTGATTAATCAATAAACTGTACTAGAGATTATTTAGGTTTAGAAAAGGTAGCTTCTAAAATTCCACGTAGGTCTAAGGCATCTAAAGCTGTAAGGGCTCATCATAGAATGCAGCAGCCTCCGTCAGAGCACCTACCAGAGCACCCAAGCCAGGTGCTGAGTGACAGGTTTTCTAAGAAAACAGCTGAGAGTCCTGGGCACATAAGTGTTTCTCATTCATAGCACAAGAGCCTCTTCTCTTGGAAAGGCAGCAGGTGTTGAATGTTTAGAGTAGTTTTTGGTTTTGTTTCACTTATTTATAAGTTTTACTTATTCATTAGATACCATGTATCTCTAATATGGTCTTGTTTTCAAAATGATCATTGTCAAAATGACTTTAGGTTAGAGTTAAAATTTTTGCACTTGTTTATCTATTTATTTGTTTACTTGTTTTAAAATAGCTAATTTTGAGAAAAGACTCACATTGTAAACTTGGCTTTCCAAAGACAACAAGCTAGCCAAGGCCCATTGTTGACTAATATAATTATACATTCAAGGCTTGTCTTTTTAAGAGATAAGTAATTCAAGAAGATAAAAGAAAAAAATTATTGGAGGAAATATTTAAAGAAGGGGTTTGTTTTGTTTTTTTAAGAGAAAGGATGGAATATTTGGCAAATATGTTCAGACCATCAGGATCATTGAATTTTCTAACTGGAAAAGACTATAGAGATCATCTAGTCAGGCTCTTAAATTGTAGTCAAGTAAAGTGATCTCCATAAACACTATATTTTTGGCTTAAGGTAGCACTTTTGTCCTGGCTGAAACCATCTCTAAGACAACTTGACTCATAGGCCAGTGCTCTAACCATATTATCCTGTTTCCCTAGGGAGGATTTTCTCTAAAATGCATGCTATATTTCTTGAAATATAAATCATGTAAAGAAACAACCCCCAAGTTTACTCTGTCTCAGATATATTAAATGACATTATTTCCAGTCATAGTGCCTACCACTGGCATAGGAAGTTTTGAAAAAAGGAAAAAGAAAAAACAGTTTTAAGCTTTTAGATAATCTGGTCAAATGCAGGTTAGGAAGGAATATTGAAAAGTTAAAATGGATTATGGGAATTGTCTCCAGGAGGAAGTTTCCAAGCTTAGCTTCCCTGCTTATCGGATTGCTGTCTTAGCCCCTCAAATGTCCAAAAGATTTCATTTCCTTTCATCGTATTGAGTAAAATTTTCCCAGTTAAGGATTCTGAGAATGCTATTGGACTATCCCATTCACTCTTTCATATGACCACTTAGCTGACATTTTCCTACTGAGGGTATAGTAGGCTTAAGGAAAGAAGAATGACATTAGGTGATAGGTTGGAGAACACTTGTACCTAAGCACATGAAGTTTAGGAAAATGGGCAGCTACAAAAGACTTTTCATACTTTTGCTCTAGGATGAAGCTTAACCAGATTGAGTGAGTGAAGGCAAGAAATTTTTATTACATGCAACTTCAGACACTGGATACTAGGTCTGTAACACTAAAATAGTTTGATACACCCCCATCCTGGTTCTGAACCTAACATTCTAGTATAGATAGTGAAACTATAAACAAACAAATAGGTAAATGAAATAATTACTGATCAGTGCTCTGGCAGAGACTATTGGTAGTAGAGTGTCCATCTTTAAATATAATGCTCAGAGAAAGCTCCCCTGAAGAAGTGACATTTAAGTAAAAACTGGTCATATTCATGTATTTTCACAGCATTATCAACAAATTGGATAGACCAAGAAACTGCCACCAGAATAAAATTTGTTCTGAGTTCCTAACACTTAGTTTCTGAGAAACTTGAAACTTACCTTGCTTGTAAGTTATAGAACTCCTATACCAATATGTTTATTTGTCAAATTGTTTCTAAACATTATCATTTTATATATAAAAAATTAAAATTCTTAACACCAATATAAAATAAGTTTTATTAAAATTTATTTAATTTCAACATTCTTAAAGGAATCTGAAGTGTAGTTTGCATTGTTTTCCCCAGGAGCTCAGTAAAGATCTTCATTGTCATCATTTGCACCTTCAGAACAAAGACTTGAAAGCACAAATTAAACATATGATGGATCTAGCTTGTCTTCAAGAACAGCAACACAGGCAAACTGAGGCGTAAGTGCATGGATTTACCTATTCTACAAATTTTAACATTGTGGCCCTAAGGAACCTGAAACAGAAGTTGTTTTCCAGAAAATTGAGTTTTATTAGGTATAGGATACATTATTTTTTAGTGTCTGCCAGCATCAGAAAGTATGCAGAGTTAGAAAACATTGATAAAGTATAAAATAGGTAGTTCTTCTCCAACTAATATTGTTAGTACTTTATAATAAAGTTTTGAAGGCATTTTTCTATAAAACTTAATTATTAGAAGCAATTACTATTAATACCAAATCAATTTTTAAGGAGGCAGTTTTTAAGTATTCATAATTCCAGAATGATTTTTCTGTCATTAAAATGAAATTACTAAAAATGTATATTTTTTAACATCAGTTGTCCCAGTTTTTATGTGATGCTATAGTAGCTCTTTCATGCTCTACTAGCTTAGTAGTAACATCTTTTGAAACATAATATTTAAAAAGTATAAGTCTTTATTTTTGTTATATGTCAGTCACCTCTTTAGGTGTCACTTTCATGCTCTGTAGAAAAGAAATTTATTTCTCTAAGGGCTTTCCACCAGTCTACAATTCTGCAGTTCTAGTATTCTTGCATATCTAGCAATTATTTTTCCATACATCTCATGTAAGGGAAATCATATTAGGATAGTTACTTTAAAAAGAAGAAAAAGGAGGGGTGCCTGGGTGGCTCAGTCAGTTGAGCGACCAACTTTGGCTCAGGTCATGATCTCACAGTTTGTGAGTTCAAGCCCCGTGTCAGGCTCTGTGCTGACAGCTCAGAGCCTGGAGCCTGCTTCAGATTCTGTGTCTCCCTCTCTCTCTCTTTCTCTGCCCCTCCCCCACTCATGCTCTGTCTCTCTGTGTCTCAGAAATAAACAAACATTTAAAAAAAATTAAAAAAAAAAAGAAGAAAAAGGAAAGGAAGAACTTTAGGGAGATATTCTTCTGTGGATAAAAGTTCAACCTAATGTCCTCATACTTTCTATATCTCTGTCTAGAACAGACAATGAAAATTCTTTTACTAGCAGTCAAACCACCTGCAAGAGTTAAAGTTATCAAAGAAACCCATTAATTTTTTAATTAAATTTTACCCATACTGTATTTATTATATAAGACATATATACATTTTAAGGTAAATTTTTGTTTCAAAATGGGCAAAAAGATTCTAACTCTCCAATTTAGTAAATTGGTGAGCCAAAACATTACAAGCAGAGGTAACACAGCATAGTAGAAAGAGTATGAGTTTTAGAGTTAGTCTTGAATTCTATTTTATATTAGCAGTATAAACTTGCATAAATTATTTAACCTCACTAAGCCTTAGTTTTCTTTTATGTTAATAGATCATAATACTCCCCTTAAAAGATTTTGAAAGGATTTAAATGACATTAAAATAAAAAGGAGGTGAACTGTCTTATTCTGACCTTGTGTAGTGGAGGCAAAAAAACTGATTTAATACACATTCAAAGTGCTGAAAGAAAAAAATTTCCAACCAAGAAAACCCTAACCACCAACAAATTATCATTCAGAACTAAAGGGGAAAGAAAAAGAATTTTCCAGAGAAGCAAAAGCTAAAGGAGTCCATTACCATAAAACTGGTGTTACGAAAAACATTAAAGAGACTTCTTTAGGCTGAAAAGAAAGAATGCTAATTAGTAATAAGAATACATGAAGGTATAAATCTCACTGGTAAAAGGAAATATATAGTAAAGGTAGGGAGTTAATTACTTAAAAAGCTGGTATGAGAGTTAAAAGAAAAACTCTAACTGTAATAATTAATGGATATATAAGATGAAAAGACATAAAATGTGTCATCAAAAACATAAAACTTGGATTATTAATTATATATTATATATATTATTATAGGTTCTATGTAGAATCTAAAAAACAAAACAAAAAAAGTCCTAGCCAGTGCAATTAGACATTAAAAAGAAAGAATAGGAGTCCAGATTGGAAAGCAAGAACCGAAATTGTCACTATTTGCAGATGACATGATACTATATATAGAAGACTCTAATGACCACCAAAAACTGCTACAACTAATAAATGAATTTAGTAAAGTTGCGTGATACAAAACCAATATACAGAAATCTGTTGGGTTTCTGCATACTAGTAACAAACTATCAGAGAAATTAAGGAAACAATCCAATTGACAATTGCATAAAAAGAATAAAATACCTAGGAATAAATGTAGCCAAGGAGGTGAAAGACCTGTACACTGAAAACTGTTAAGATACTGATGAAAGAAATTGAAGAAGACAGAAATAAATTTAAGATATTCTGTGCTCATGGATTGGAAGAATTAATGTTGTTCAAATGTCCATACCATCCAAAGCTATCTATGGATTGAATACAATCTCAATCAAAATTCCAATGGCATTTTTGACAGAAATAGAACAAAAATTCTAAAATTTGTATAGTGTTACAGAAGATACCAAATAGCCAAAGCAATCTCAAGAAAGAAGAACAAAGTATCACACTTCCTGTCTGATTTATTTCCTTCAAACTATATTACAAAGCTGTAGCAATCAAAACAGTATGGTATTGGTTTCAAAACAAGCATGTAGTATACTGTATGTTGACTAACTAGAATTTAAATTTAAAAAAAAAAGAAACTGCTCTGTGTATTAAAAAAAAAAAAAGGTAGATTAATAGAACTGAGAGCCCAGAAAATAAACCCACAGATATAAGGTCAATTAATTTATGACAGAGGAGCCAAAAGTATACAGTAGGGCGATATGCAAAAGAATAAAACTGGACCACTGTCTTACACTATACATAAAAATTAACTCAAAATGGTTTAAAGACTTGAACATAAGACCTGAAAACATAAAACTCCTAGAAGAAAATGTAGGTAGTAAGCTCCTTACCACCACATAGGTGGTAAGAGATGATATTTTGGATTTGACACCAAAAGCAGAAGAAACAAAAGCAAAAATAAGTGAAATTACATCAGACTTAAAAACTTCTACATACCAAAGGAAACCAACAACAAAGTGAAAAGGCAACCTTCCGAATGAGAAAAAAATATTTGCAAATTATATATCTGATAAAAGGTTAATGCCCAAAATACATGCAGAACTTATACAATTCAATAACAGAGAGAGAGAGACAATCTGATTTAAAAATGGGCAGAAGATCTAAATAGACATTTTTCCAAAGAAGACATATAGATAGTGAACAGGTACATAAGAAGGTGCTCAGTATCACTAACCAAGATAATGCAAATCAAAACCATAATGAGATATCACCTTATACCTATTAGAATGGCTCTTACCAGAAAGACAAGAAATAACAAGTGTTTCCAAGTATGAAGACAATAAGGGATCCTTGTGTATTATTGATGGGAATTGGTGTAGCCACAATAGAAAACAGTATGGAGGTTCTTCAAAAGTTAAAAATGGAACTACTGGGGCACCTGGATGGCTAAGTTGGTTAAGTGTCCAACTCTTGAATATGGGCTTAGGTCATGATCTCACAGTCGTGAGATTGAGTCCCATGGGCATGAAGTCTGCTTAAGAATCTCTGTCTCTCTGCACAGTCCTGCTCATACTTGCACACTTTCTGCTCTCTGTCAGTCTTTCTTTAAAAAAAAACAATAGAACTACCGTATGATCAACCAATTCCACTTCTCAGTATTTATACAAAGAAAATGAAACACTAACACAGAAAGATATATGCACCCCATGTTCATTGCAGCATTATTTATAATAGCTAAGATATGTAAACAACCTAAGTAACTATCAGTGGATGAAAGGTTAAAGAAAAAGTGGTATATGTTTATGTGGATAATATATCTATACACACACAATGGAATATTATTCAATCATAAGAAAATAATGAAATCTTGCCATTGGTGACAGCATGGATGTACCTTGAAGGCATTATACTAAATGAAATAAATCAGTGAAAGAGAAATAACAAATGATCTCACTCCTATGTGGAATCTTAAAAAAAAAAAAAAATTCATCAATACAGAGAACAGATTGGTGGTTGCCAGAGGCCAGGGTTGGGGAGTAAGCAAAATAGGTGAAGTGAGTCAAAAGATACAAATTTACCATCATAAATAAATCATGAAACAAAATGTACAACATGGCGACCATAGTTAGTAAAACTGTATTGCACATCCAAAAGTTGCTCAGAGAGTAGATCTTAAAAAAGTTCTCATTGCAAGAAAAAAAACTTACATGTGGTAATGAAAATTAACTAGATTTATTGTGGTGATCATTTGCAATATAAATAAATATTAAATCAAAAAATATAAATGAATGAATGCATAAATACATTCAAACAAACAAATATAAGTACATATGTATGTCATGGGTCCCTAAGACCACCTCCTTGTTTGATGATTTACTACGATGGCTCACAGAACCCATCATATAGTTGTACTCATAGTTATGATTTATTATAGCAAGAGCATGCAAAACAAAATCAGCAAGAGGAAAAGGCAAATGGGGCAAAGTCCAAAGGAAACCATATGCAAGTTTTCAAGTGTCTTCTTCCACTTGGACCCACACAGGATGTGCTTAAGTCCTCCAGCAAAAAGTTGTGAATACATTTTAAATGTTGTCTAAACTTTGGGATCTCATTAGACAATTAGTGCACTTGGGTTTTTACTGGGAGTTGGTTACAAAGGCACCTTCTACCTAGCCTGTACCAAAATTCCAGACTTTCCAGGAGGAAAGTAGTTGTTCAGCATAAACCATATTGCTTATACAAATAGTTTAAGTACAGTGAGCCACTCTTATCAGTTCTGAAAATGAGAACACTCTCAAAATTCAAGTATTAAGATGTCAACCAAGGGCCAACGTTGCCAGCAAGCCTTTTTTTTTTTTTTTTCTTTTTTTTTTAGTGTTTATTTTTGAGAGAGAGACAGAGTGGGAGCAGAGAAAGGGCAGAGAGAGATGGAGACACAGAATCCAAAGCAGGCTCCAGGCTCCAAGCTCTCAGCACAGAGCCTGATGCAGGGCTTGAACCCATGAACCACAAGATCATGACCTGAGCTGAAGTTGGACGCTTAACCAACTGAGCCACCCAGGTGCCCCAACTAGCAAGACTTTTTAAGAATAGCAACCTCTGGCTGGCTGTGTTATGTGTTCTCTGCACAGCACCTCATTAGTATAGGTGCTCAATAAATATTGTTTCTTTTAGTGACTTTATACTTAATGACTTTTCCCTATAGTTGTTGCCTACGTGATTTAAATGGAGTACTCTCTACCCTCCCCAAAAGGGGCAGTGTCACAATTTATGTGTACTACTATCTAAATATTTAAGTCTCTGAGGTAAAAGCGCATTTATTTCCTTGATTGTCAAAATCAATGCCTATTCTTTTTCCACTGCCCTACCATACTTCAAATAATCCTATTCTGCCGGATGTTATGAGTCAACTGAATCAACCAGGTCCGAAGCATTTCAAGGTCATTCAAGTTGTTTGACATCTTCCTTGATATAAAAATTAGGAACCATTAATTGAGTGTATAAATTTATAACTGTTTAGCTGTGGTATTTCTTCAGTGAGCACTTACATGGAGGTCTAATACATAAAAAGATACATTCAGTACTGCTCTGATTGATAGCATTAGGCAAGATTTTGAATCAGAGCCAAGAATCCAGTGCCCCTTTGATTCCCTTTAGCTACCATCCTTGTCCACAACTCTTCTACTTGGAACCCCTCTGAATGGCTTTGAAAGCCATTGCTTTAACTCATAAAGAGCTATCTTGGAGGAAATTTGACTCTGTGGTTCCTTCAAAATACTATATACCTGAAACGGATCTCATCATTTAACAGTGCATTTTTTCATTTTAATTCCATGGTACTTAGTATGAGTAATAACAGTATCTTTGTTTTATAAATCACATAATGCTTTGTAGAAACCTTTTACATGTATTTAACTCACTTAGTTTTGACAGTAGTCTCCTGTTGTAATGACTGTCTAGTTGTACCCCAAGTTATCGAGAAGAAACCTCAGTTCGTGTATTACCCAAGATCACCTTGGAATTGAAAACTAGCCAAGTCTACAGCCTGGTGCTTGTAATTCCCATCCAGGATTCTTTCCACTCTTTACTTAATGTAGTGAGAATATGTTGAGGTATTTTATTGAAATATCTAAATGAAAACATATACAAGATATTATTTAATGATGTGTTAATACTTAGGATATTATGTAGAACTGTAATAGTGTATTTAAAATTTAATATTTATCTCTCTTGTCACCTTTTTTATATAGAGTATTGAATGCTTTGCTTCCAGTCCTAAGAAAACAGTATTGTACATTAAAAGAAGCTGGCCTTTCAAATGCTGCTTTTGAGTCTGACTTCAAAGAAATTGAACATTTGGTAGAGAGAAAGAAAGTGGTGGTTTGGGCTGACCAAACTAATGAGCATACTTTAAAGCAAAATGACCTAACAGGGGTTTCTGTTCTTATGACCTTTCCACAACTTGGACCACCAGATCAATCTCCTTGTTGTAAGTACAGCTTTTCTTTTATTAGGTAAATTATAAAGTTATTTCTAAAGAGTAGCCTCCTTTATATATTGATCTCCAGAACAGTTAATTTTTTAATAGGTTTGGCTATTTTGTGAGAATTAATGGGAAAATTAGCTTCACAATCATTTCATTAACCAGTATCTTTCAAAGGTTTAAGAGCCAAGTATGCTTGATGTTCTCAATAACTCTAGCAATAAAACCTTTAAGTTATTTTACCTATTTTTGATGGAATAATTGTACTTCCACCCTTCTTTAAAAGTTAACCTCATTTAAAGATGAAGATGATAATTAATATTATATTCTGTAATACATAATAATCTGTTCTTAAGATCAACTAACAGCATAGAATAAACTATATTTTATTGCCATATATCACTTGTTATCAAAGTGTGTTTAGGACATTTTAATTGCAAAACAAACATATAATGTTTAAAATAAATTCAGGCAATACAGAATTACACGTACAAGTAGAATGGCCTCTTCAACTTTCCCCAGAACCCAATCTTGCATCCTGTCTCAGAAATAAATACATTTAACAGTTTGATTGTCTTTATACTGTGTGTGAATGTGTGCATCCGTGTGTGTATGTGAATGTGTAATATTTGTAGTACATAGTCTAACTCTAGCTTTTTGTTAAGCTTCATATGAATCCTAGCACATAATATATATTGATCTACAACTTTTTTTTATTTGTCTAGTTTATTATGAACATATTTAGGGTATATGCTTAAAGAATTTACCTTGTTTTTTTTTTTTTTTTTTAACAATTGTGAGAATTCAGAGAATAGATGTACTATAATTTATTTAACCATTGATCTATTGGTGAACAGTGCATCAGAAAACATGCTTGTATATTCACATTTGTGCATATGTACCAGATTCCTAGAGACTGATTTGTTGGAAGTAATTTTTTGAAAAATTAATCTGTCAAACTCCAAAATGTTCTCTATGCCAGATGTATATGAGATACCTCTCTCATTCTTATCCCAAAATAATAGCAACCCTAAACTGGTCTGTATTCTTTTTAAATTTGCAGCTCTCAGACTTTACCTCCAAACTTTTCTGTCTTTCTGGAAGTTTGGATCTTCCCAAGGCCCTATTCTACTTTTCTTTGTTTCCAATGCTGGTAATAAGAGGTCTCCATTTTGTTTAGAGAGTTTTAATTTACCGTACAACATCGAAGTCAATCCACTGATCAGTTAATCTGATTATCATTGGTAATTACCTTGTAGTCTCTCCCCATTCTTTTTTTCTGAGTTTACAGATTTGGGAAAAGCGTTTCTCATATATACAATAGTGGGGTCCCAATTTTCCTTGTAGCTTTTCTGTTGATCTGATCCACGTGATTTCCAACTTCCAAAAATTACCCGGTTTCTGATGTTGGCAGCTGTTTCTTTTTTCTATTGCTGATGCTGTGTCAATGGATTTTAAGAGGAAGATGAGGCAAATCTCTGTAGATTTGTGTATTTGATTTTATTTCTTTTAGTATGATCTCTTGTCAAAACGGTCAGTCAAATATTTATTTTGTAGCTTTTTCCTTTTAGGTGTTTGTTTACTTTTTTGCTGTGGGTTTTATTTTCTATTTAATTGTTTTTATCTTTACTTTTATTATTTCTTTCCATCTACTTTTATTCAGTTTATACTGCTGTTTTTATTTCTGACTGATAAAGATGGATATTTGTTCATTAACTTTCACCTGACTTTTCTAATTTATGCATTAATGTCCATAGGTTTCCCTCTAAACACAGCTTTAACTTCATTTCACAAGTTTTGATACATAATATTCTAGATTATTATTCGTTCAAAATATTTTCTGATTTCTGTTGTAATTTCTTCTTTTACCTATGGAGCATTTTTTTCCTCACTTTTTATTTAAAATTGCACTTTCAGATTGAGCAAATTTCCATTTGTGTTCAGGCTTGGAGAAGCAATTAAAATGAGGATCATACTTTTTTTTTTTTTTAATGTTTTATTTACTTTTAAGGCAGAGAGAGAGCATGAGTGGGTATGGGAAAGAGAGAGGGGGAGACACAGAATCCGAAGCAGGCTCCAGTCTCTGCGCTGTGAGCACAGAGCCTGACGTGGGGCTTGAACTCAGGAACTGTGAGACCATGACCTGAGCCGAAGTTGGACACTTACCCAACCGAGCCACCCAGGCGCCCCGAGAATCATACTTTTTTAAGTGCCATATAGGCATCCGATATATATTTCACAAAACTGGTAGATTAGTTTTAATATTTTTTAGTTTTTATTCTCTAAAAAGCTATAGCATATTCCATCCAATTTTTTATTTTTAGCTTAATTGAATTGTATTCAGAGAAAATACTTAATATGATTTTAATCCTTTAAAGATTATAGAGACTTGCCTTATGCCCAACATATAGTTAGCTGGTATAAGTGTTTCAAGTATGCTTATAAAGAATGTGTATTTTGTAGTCATTTATTGCCAGTCTTTTAGGTCAAATTTGCTGTGTGCTTCAAATTTTACTCTTACAGACTTTTTTTTAATTCACATTCTATCATATACTGAGGAGACCTATTAAAAATTCCCTTTATTACATTGGATTTTTCTATTTTGCATCAGTTTTCTTTCACCACACTAACAAATCAACACAAATATGTCAACCTAAAATAACACTGATTTATTATTTCCGAGTTCTGTAGATCAGAATTATGGCAGGCTCAACTGGTAATTCCACTTAGAGTTTGAGAAGGCCAAATCAAGGTGTAAGCCAGCTGGATATCTTTCCTGGATGTTCTGAGGAGAGAATGTGCTTCTAGGCTCATTCTGGTTGTTAGCAGAATTCAATTCTATGCAACTGTAGGACTGAGGTCCCTGTTCTCTTGGTGCTGTTGGCCAGGGGTCATTCTCCAATTTTAGAGGTCACCCATATTCCCTGGCATGTTGCCCTCTTCATCATTTCATTTCCTAGCCAAGAAAGGCAGGACACTTCATTCTCATGCTTCGAATCTCTCTCACCTTCCCTTCTGCTTCATCTCTCCTGCCTACAGTTAAAGGGAAGTCTCTGCTTTTAAGGGTTCATATGGTTCTATTGGGCCTGCTAGGTAATCTAGGATAATCTCCCTGGTTTAAATTCCATAACTTCAATTACATCTGTAAAATCCCTTTTACCATGTAATGTAACATAATTCACAGGTTCCAGGAGCTAGGGATGGACATCTTTTAGGAGATATTTCTCCTTGTAGTTCTGTCAATTTTTAGTTTTTATACATTGAGATTATATTATTAAATCTATATATTTCAGAACTCTTACATCTTCCTTTTTTACAAAATGTACTTATGTGCTTATTCTTTTTTTTTAATATGAAATTTATTGTCAAATTGGTTTCCATACAACACCCAGTGCTCATCCCAAAAGGTGCCCTCCTCAATACCCATCACCCACTCTCCCCACCCTCCCACCCCCCATCAACCCTCAGTTTGTTCTCAG